TTGTTTCCAAGTGCTTGTTGGAGTTTCCAACACCCTTATTCTTGACAACCTCATAATTGCAGGCTCATGCGGCACAGCACACGAGAAGAGCAGCGGCAGCGTTGGCGTTGGCGTTTGCAGCTGCAGCGACGGCAGTGTGCAGCATGTGGGCACACAGGCGTGTGCTTGTCAGGGCTGTGCATAAAGTGCGGAGCTCTCAGTTTGTGCCGCCCCTCATACCGCACCTCCGAGACGTGTTGATCGCCCCCGCCGCCAGCAGGATTTGCACCCCGGCCCGGATCTGTTCGCTGGCAAGGCTACATATCGTCCGTGATGCCCGCACGCCATCCAAACGAGTGATTCTGCCCACACCTGATTACTATTGCCAGGCCTGACGCCCAGCAGTGAGGGCGCTATGACACCAGCACAATAAGATGCACTTGCCCCCACAATCGCTGCGGCCGCATGCAGGCCCAGCCACGGCCGCACGCCTTTGCTTCCATCATACGGGCGAGGCTCATGCTCATCAAACAGCAACAGCAGGTGGCTGCTTTGGCTGGCCCGTGTCGCTGTGCAAGTCAATGGCGTATCGTTGGTGTGCCCATGCCCTGTGCCCCACTCAAAGCCCGGTGCTGTGCCTGCCTGTGTGTACCACACCACACATGGCGATGTAAGCACCGGCGCTGGCTGTCTCTAAGCACGTCCATGTTTGCTGCTGCTAGCGATTGAGCAATCACAAAGCGCTGGGTAATTGTGGGAAAACATGATCCCGTACCACGCATACGACATTTGAGCGCCACGTGCGTCGGCAATCACCCGGCGGGTGCCGCACCCCGCAGCGCCTCGTCGTGACAACGCAGGAGTACGACATGTCTGACTGTGTGGAGTTTGCGCCCAGGAATCCTTCATTTACAAGGCCTTGTAGGGCTAGGGTCGTCCAGTTGCTGGTTGCGCGTGGATGCGCTAGGCCGCCTCGTTCTCTGGGTGGGGGACGCTTGGAGGTGCTGGCCGCCACCGCAGGCGTCAAATCAATGAGTGTGGCAATTAGCGGTGTGCACAGTGGGTGTTTTACTCCAGGTCCTGCCAAAATGAGGAACGACATGCTGTGTGGAGCATTCAGTGCAGCACATGAGGTGGGAACACACGGAGGGCCCCAGCCAGGAGAGGTTGCCAACACAGGCATGGGGTGCGATGATGACGAAGCACGCAGGTTAGTCTGACTGGAAGGGACAAATCCCCACCTGCCGCAGCATGTGAAGGCACCCGCTCAGGTGATGTTGGATTTGCAGTCCCTTGGCAGGTGTGTTGTAGTTGTGCTGTACCAGACATACAACAAACCTCTGACCGTGCAAGCACAACGATACACATGCTTGCATTAGTGGATGCAGTATGGTAATGGACAGAGAATGTCAAGCTGCGGCTGCGGTGCGAGTGCAGTCGTCACAAGACCCGGGTCAGTCGATGGCGCCCCCCATCTGCCACCCCTGCCAGTATTGGGGCACTCGGACCGCATGAGGTGTGCTGTGCTTGTATGAATCTGCGTTTGAGTGTTGAAAATAATGTGTGGAGGCAGGGGGCGGCGAGGCTTGGATAGGTGTTCAAGCATTTGAGCTCAAGGGGTTGCCGTGACCGGCAGTGTCAGAGCACCTCACCAGGAGGGACTGCTACGCTGAAGCTGAGGTGGTCTGGTCAGCATGTGCGTGGAAGCTGAACGGAGCTTCATTCGAAGCATGTTAGCAAGCTAAAAAGCTGTACCACTGTCTATTGAGGACCATCAGCAGCAAACATCCGCATTCGTTGCCGCGGCTCGCGTGCAGTACAGATCCACCAAGTTATCACACGGTCTTCGCACTCGCTTGTGCCACAGACGACCACAGTGAGCAGCGCATGTGAATGGATTAAATGCACGCAGTGCTTGCTGGGT